ATTAAAATGAAAAATGCATTTTTGACTAATGGACTTCGGATCTATAAACTAGCAAGGCAACTTCTACCTGGCCCATGATAACCCAATTAAACTATGAAAAATAAGATCACAAGGAAAGCCCAATGTTGGACCCATTACGGCATTACCTGTTTCAGCCGAAAAAGAAGATGAAAGCCCATTATGTCGCCTACCTCGAGTTGGTCATCTCTCTACATTCCCCATCTCACTCCTTGTTTTTTTTTTTTTTTTTTTTTTTTTTTGGTTTTGTTTTTGTTTTTGTTTTTTTTTTCGAACAACGACAACTTGGAAAGAAAAAAAATGTAATTCATGGGATTAAATACGTAATCCTTGGAAAGTAATCTTTAATTGACTAAGAATTACGATCATTAAATCAAGGTGTGAGGATCATCTTACTTCATAAAAAATGTTGCATGTAATGCGTATATATACATACAAATACAAAACTTGTACATGCATTATTTTATAATGTGGTAAATTAATTAATTATCAGACCGCAAAACATAGTATTGATCCTTTCTAATACAAACAAGGACAGCAGGTCACTAACATTAAACAAATGCAACGGATTCACCTCCATTCTCTTCCATTTTCAACGTTTGGATGTGTAAACGCAATATAATTTCACCTAGAACAACTTGTTTAAATTGATATCTATTAACTTAAAAATCTTGATTTGAAATTTAGAATTAAAATTTCAAACTTCTACAATACCAAGTAACTAACTTTCTAATATACTAAATAAAATAATAATAATAATAATAATAATAATAGGCATTATTTCAAGAAAAGAGATTTAAGAAACTACTTCAACAATAATCTCTTAAAAAACAGTAGGTCATCTTTTTGAGCCTAAATTGAGACATATTAGCAAATGTTCTGAAATTAAATAAGTTTTACTGGTAATCCTTACACTTTGGCTTAGTGGTTAGAGTCAATGGTTAATGGGGATCACTTCTCATAGGTTGCCTGTTTGACCTTCATGGGATCCCCTTCCCCATTCCCCATTACACCTAAATATGTACCAGCTGCCCTCTTTCAAAAACCAAAAATGGCTTACAGGTATCATTATACACAGCTAAACACCACAAAAACTATGAGCTACTTGAAAATGCAACTGAAGGGCCTAAGTAATGAGTAACACGTATGATCCGTGGAAGGAGATACGGATTGTAGGAAGAGTAAAAGCAGCAGATACTTCAGACTAGCTATCAAATGGTAATCAAAATGTCATAATGCAGCGAGTATTATAGTATAGAAATTGAATAAGGGATTTAGATCTTAATCTATATTTCAAATCAAAAACCTTGGCTGGGATGATAATGAATGGAGCAAGTTGCTGAAGAATAATTCAGAAACAAAACTAGTCTCAGAATGAAGCGTACCAGATCTTTGGCAGCCTCACAGATGTGCAAAGACTTGAACAGAGACGTAGGTTTACCATCAAACATGAGTTATAAACTTCCAAGGTATAATATCATGAACCTGAGCCCCTACCGCCAGGGTTTCAGCACTTTTATCAAACTGCTGGCTCAAAGTAAGACGTTCAATGCCTCCAAAAGGAAATGAAAATTTTCTTCTTATTTTTTCTTAATAAAAAAGGTGTCACATGGCTACATCCAAACGCAGGACAAAAGTTAGAGGCAAAGTTGAACTAGGGTGCTAGATTTACCCCTGCCATGCAGTATTGTTTATCGGGCTGTGAAAGAAGAAAGTCAAACATGCAGGAACAACGTGTCTCATCTCAAGTTCTGAACAAGTGCATTAAACCAATAGTAATTTGCACTTCACATAATGATCATTGAGGAAATTAAAGCATGTAAGAATGGGTTGCCTCCTGCATATTCTCTTTACTTTATGAAAACTGTATGCTTTCTAAACCAACCCTACAATGCTTTGACAGTTTCTCTGACCAAAAGTGTGATAGACAGATTTGTTCCATCCGGTTTGATGTACCTACCAGACATGGTTTGATCAATAAAAATTACATGCCTAAGTGAGAGAAATGGTAACAGCATCCTGAAAATCTTGAGCTGTACAAGTTTTTGGGAAAACAAAATCTGCCAATCCATGCTTAGAATCCATTAAGGAAATTCCTCCATTTTGCCCTTTGTTTGGTTTGCGGAAAATGACTACTTGGAAATTATAGTTAGGATACCTAATTTAAATGTAACTGAAAAGAAAAATACTAAAGATAGGTGAAAGATACTCTTCTTTTCTTTTTTCCTTTTTTTTTTTTTAAGGAAATGCAAGCATTTTGCATTTCCTGAAAGTACAAAATCTATGCATATATACTCAGACATACCCGGTGTATATACATATCAACTCCTCTTCTCTATATTCCCATCCTCACACACTCATATGAAAGGATAGAAGATACCCTTTGATACCCTTTTCATTTTCAGAAAACAATTTCCGCCATTAGCAAGGGGAAGTTCTTTTCCAGAAAAGAAAATGAGAATCCTTCATCTATCTCTAACTATCTTACTTCTCATGTTTGCATTATTAATAAGTCATTTTACCCATGAATTCCCAGAAGTCATTTTCCATGAACAAAATATAACATTAGAGATCATAACGCAGTTAAAATCAGTCGCTTGCTCAAATGTTATTCAAAGTTTTAGTTCTCAACAAGACAACCATGATTGATTTTACCCTTACATTTCCTAACAGAAGAAAAAAAAAATAAAGAAAAGTCAATAATAAAATTCATATGGTTGCAATTGAACAAGAACTTGCATCATTATAAGAAAACAATGTTACAAATCTGGTCAAATCTAGTAAATGACTTCCAAAGAGTAAGAGTAAACTAGCACAGCTGTTAAAAATCTTACCAGAATTCTTCACTGACTCTGAAACCAAGAACCTGTAATATGAGAAAAAATGAACCAGGAAAGAAATGAAATTAATTTCCAGCAATAGAATTCACATATATTTGTTTGGACTTTGGAAAAGAACTAAAGTACCATTTCACATCTTCAGAGGCAGAGTTTACCACTTAAGCTGACAAAGAAACTTCTTCAGGAACAATCCTAAGAGACTGTCTCTGATAATGAATTCCAACAAAGAGTGCAGTACAGAACTTGAGGTTCAACAGTAAAGCATCATAAATCAAAAGAGAAGTACATCCAAATATGGCAGACACAATTACTCTGAACAAAAGGCTAATTTTATTGTGATATAAATGTATGTACAAGAAGAGGCATTGTTCTCTGATGTAAAAACTACAGCCAAGGTACGGTGTTTGCTAAGATACGACCACTAAGATAAACTAACTTGTAGGAATAAAGATCTTTACAGTCGACATCACTAACGTAAAGCAGGAGAAAAATGCAAGACATCCAAAGGTTCACTCAGAAATCAACATGTGGAGGAATCCTGAAAAAGAATCTATGTAATCTACCTCTGGACAGGACAACCAAATAGCTATCCACTTAACCAGTCATTACTTGACAACAGGGATTATGTTTTGTCTGTTGATAGTATAATTAACAAGACTATACAAAGAGACCAACTTCAAACCATCATCTTTAAGTCTGAAAGATCATCCATTGGAATTTCAAGGCCCATGAAGTCATGATCTTGTAATCCATCATCATCAATGTTCAACCATGAACCCAGGTCTTGTTCTGGTAACTGGAAGTCAACCTCAGGGTCATCTAATACATCCAAGCTAAACTCATTTTTCTCTTTAGCATTGTTGTCAGCAGTTATTTCACTTGACTTTGATACAGAGGTCAATGATGGTTTGGATTGCTCAGGCATCTTACCAAGAAGGCCACTTACAGAAACAGATAGCTGAGTTGTTTTCTGCTTTGGCTTTGTTTTAGATTTTCTTTCCCCCTTAACATTGGGTACTTGTCGACCAATTTTATTAGTTCCATTTCTATATAAAACCTCTCTAACATGTCCCTTTCCCTCTCTATCTCTCTCACTCCTCTTTCCCTTTGTACTGCTTGATAAAGAACTTCCAATGCCAGAATGGGCACTTGAAGTACAAATAGCACCACCAACTACATCATCCAGCAATAACTCCCTCTTCTTCACTCTGTTTGACCATGTGTCTTCTCTACCAGTGGTTTGTTCAGAAAGCTGATTTGTGGGTGGAAGCATATCAGAAGAATTAATGGCATAGCTATCCCCATTTTGACCCAATTGGGATAGAGTTGTAGCCGGCTGTGAACCCATGGAAGCTGCAGAAAAAACCAAAATAACAAGTCTACACTGAATTGTATGGTAAAGAAAAATTCAGAGTGGAGAAAAAAATGGAATATAAGACTTGTGCAGACGGCAAAAGAACCAAGCAAGGTTTTCCAGAATGATCACAAAGGAATTAAAAGACACAAATAATTACACAGATGAGATACATGTCTATAAAGTATGTTATATAGAAGCATTAAGAAACTACCTGAAACTTGGGCTTCCTGAGATTGGACAAAGATATTTCCATCTACCAATCGAGGGAGATTTTTGTCAGAAAACCCAGAAAGAAACATATCCCTAAATAAGGGTTCACTGAAACAGCTCTTTCCTGTATCTTCAAATTTATGGCAATGCTCCAATGTCCGTTTAACTAATGCCAATGCAGCTTGCTTGACCATTTTATTACTGGAACTTTTCCCACCACTGGCATTAGGACCCCAACAGGCCTATGGAATGGGGAGAAAATATCAAAAAATGAACAGAAATAGAATAACAGAAGCCTCTTGTACATGCAGACAACATGAAACTAGAGAGGAAAGAAAGGGTTTACCAATTTCACAAAATTAAAATTCACAATAAAATTCTATTTCGGACACACTCACACAGCAGACAACAGATTCCAAACAGAGAAAAGTAACAAAATCTAATGCAATCTCAAAAATCCAACGTAATCTTAAGAATCCATCCAAACTGGGTCAGTTTAGAACCATTTCTGTTTCCTGTTTTCAATTTCATAAAAATGATAATCTGTAAAGAAGACTTTGTTTCAGTTGTTGGTTCCAAAAACTGGAAACTACAGGTCAGACTAAAAAAATGTTGTGTTTTCACTAGTGGCAACTAGTTGCAGTTGCCACCACTAGAGTACATTTAGATACCTATATGTATATGTAAACACATAAATTTACAAGGACATGTGTGTGCCAATTTATACTAATTAAACTATCTTTTTATGAAAAATTTATAGAGAAAAATTATAAATATGAAATTTAATATAATTTAATTTAATTTTGCTTATAATTTTAATTTAATTTTACTTATATTTAACTTATCTATATAATATATTATTGCATATAGATATACATATTTAAACATATATAATTTTATACTGTTTATAAAATATATGTAAATAATATTTTCAAGAATAATAAAACCTCAAAAAAGAAAAAGAAAAAAAAAAAAGCGATCAAACTAAACAGGTTTTGAGTTTCACTTTCCAAAACTAATACCTCTGGTAAACAGGTTTTCAATTTTGGTTGTAAGTATTCATTTTCTGTGTCTCCAAAATTTTGAAGGCAATAATAATTGGAAAAGATATTAAGATTACCATAAACAGAATGATTTTAAACTTTGAATAACATTACCATATACTTTTCATAAGCCATGGTAACAAGCTTGTCATGGGCACGCTGTTCAAACTCCCTATACCACAAATAGATTATTGCATATTGCATAATTAGACAATGATATTCAAAAGTTTTAAGTTAAAAGGCTAAAAGTGAAAGCATAAAAATTTTTAAATTATCAGAAAAGAAAGGATGATAAATTGTTACTTTTCTTGAACTTTTCTTGTCTCTGAGGCAGCCTTCAACAGTTTATCAAGCAAGCCTTTCTTCTTGAAAACCTATTGTATCAACAAAATAAATAAGACAAACCCATCACAAACAAAATTAAACTTTATATTGGCAAATTTCAATAAAAATATTGTACAAATGCATATTATTAGAATGAATTTGTAGAATACCCAACAACAAATGTTATAAAATAGAAGGACAAAAAAGAAAAGGAAACAGAAAAGCATGAAAATGAAAGATTACCATCATATTTTAGATATGATGTAATAATACAACCAGGAACTACCTGATCATTGTGCTTCTCCTCAAGTTTACTAATATCCTCGCAAATTTTATCATCCACCACATCTACCGTGTCAAGCTGGAAAAAGAAATGGAAAATATAGTTCATAAAATGTACTAATGACCTACATGACAGATGAAACAGGAAAGCATGAAATGCATAAGCTTGTCCAATAAACTACCGAATATTCAGTGGAAGAAAAGTAACACTC